AATTATATTAATCTTTCTTCTTTTGATGCCAAGTGATATAATATATCTTTTCTTTCTCTTCCTGAAAAGGAAAGTCAAGCTATATATTTCCTAAACATAACTTGACTACCGGAGCGTTTCCAGTTCACTGTGTTAACCGGATCAGAGCGTTTCTTGAACATGAGAATGTCATCATTTCTAAGACTGGATTTTCGGTCACCAAATCACTATTACGATAATGTTTGGTGCGTTGAAGCATTGAAATTTGACCAAAATATACGTTGATGCTCTAATCTTGGCTCAACTAATCACATGTCGACAAAAGGGGTTTTGACCGGTAGGAGGAAAAAATTTAGTTTTTGAAGTTTGATAACTATACTGCTTCGTACAGCTCTTCTTAATTGCTTCAAGCGTCAACAGCCAGCCAAGTACAACATGAATATCACACCCATCGAATGGTATACTCGAAATAAGTAACTCATACCTCTTATTACCGTTATTGGGGAAATCGTCAGACGGCTCATCATTCCCGCCCGCCAGTTGTCCTACTCCTGAGCGTTTCTTTGTTTAGTTTCAGTAATGAAACGCTCCGTCGTGCATGTAAGAGCGTTTGGGTTGGACACCGTGATGTATGGTCAAAAGTTATTTATCTCGACTTCCGGCAAAACTGCGCCAGCAACTGACACACTGAACTCGATGCTGAACTCAACAAGGTTCATTCAATACTCCGAAACCAAATCCTCCGAAAAATTAGGCAATACAAACCAGAAATATTGCCCAGAAAAATCTGATCGCCACCCATGATCTAAAACACGATAACTTCGCGTACATATTTCTGGTGAGCACCCCTCCCCGACCCTATACTGCCTTTTCCGAAGAAGGGGGGGGGGGGGTTAGTGTAAAGCAGTATGGTTTGAAGAATATTTCATGAACATATCTTACTAATCTCTGTGTAGGTCCATCATTCTATATTAAATAACTCAAGAAAATATAAATAAAAAAAATTAAAACATATCTATCATATTGTTGATTTAAGCTCCATATACTTAACTTTATAACCTGAAAGAGTGACATTAAATGAATGCAGTGGAAAGAGAAGCTAAATAAAAAATGGGCGTGGCACTTTAAATCAAAAGTCATATTTTCAGGGTTTTTGTCTTCATTTTACAATACATTTAAGTATAATACGACAATGATGTGGGCAAAATGAATGTGGGAATAGAAGTAAAAGGTCAAAATTATACTCTTTAGATTTTATCTTGTAATATTGAATTATCAATCCAACTCAATCACTTAAATGGTTTACATATAATATAGCCCCCCCCCCCTCAAAAAGTTTGGCAACCTAAGCTCCCTCATTGAACTATGTGTTAAAGCCTCTTTATGTTTGAATTTTTTTACAAAGCCTGCTAGAAAAATACTTATAATATTGATGGAAATGTAACTTGACTTGATGATAAATTTGATGAATTTTTGAAAATCGTCATTCCCATGTAATCCAATGGGAAATGGAGGGTTCGGGGCAAATCTGATTTCATGATATCTATCCAGTAAAAGATTCACCAAAAAAAAATTTTATATAGAAAATTGAATTGTCTAACTTTTTATGCACGCTAAGTGTTTAGAGAGCTTCAAAGTCATTTTTGAAAATCATTTTCGCCCCCTGTGTTATTTCAATGGGAGGAGTTTTTTGAGAAATAATTTTGACTTTGAAGATCTTTAACTTTTTTGAACATGAAGAAATGTATTAATCTTTTGTCAAATAAAGTTAGCATGCAAATGTTATTGACTACCTAACTTGACACTTTCCCCTTTCTAATGGTATATTCAAAACCATGAGGGAAATTACCATCATTTTTATCCTCGTTTACTAGTAGTAAAACAGTTTTATTATTTTACTCAACAACTGCTGGATAATAAAGGTAAACATTATTTGCTTATGAATTCTAATAGCCTAGAATTAAACAGATAAAACTAACGGAACAAAAATGAATCGGTACAAATTTAAAAAGATAAATCAATGTATCTCCTTGTCCTTATTAATATTACTTGGAATGGAGCTTGTTTTAATACTTAGAACACAAAAAGGTAAAAATGGATACATAATAGAGATGGATATATATGAATGCTCAACACAAGATTTATCTATATCAAAATAACTATGCAACTCAACAGGAATGGAATTTACTAAAATTGCATAAAATGTTATAACGTATTTCAGGATGAATAACATCTAATGCTTCTGTTTAGGGTTAAGTCAAATATGATAATAACGTTCAGGTGTGTGAGTAAAATGTCAATTTGATAACAAAGTTCATTTATAAGTCATATGCAATGATACATGTTCAGGGGTGAGTCAAATATGATAATAACGTTCAGGTGTGTGAGTAAAATGTCAATTTGATAACAAAGTTCATTTATAAGTCATATGCAATGATACATGTTCAGGGGTGAGTCAAATATGATAATAACGTTCAGGTGTGTGAGTAAAATGTCAATTTGATAACAAAGTTCATTTATAAGTCATATGCAATGATACATGTTCAGGGGTGAGTCAAATATGATAATAACGTTCAGATGTGTGAGTGAAATGTCAATTTTGATAACATAGTTCACTAATAAGTCATATGCAATGATACATAACGTTCAGGGGTAAGTCAAATATGATGATAACGTTCAGCTGTGTGAGTGAAATGTCAATTTCGATAATAAAGTTCACTAATAAGTCATATGCAATGATACATAACGTTCGGGGATAAGTCAAATATGATAATAATGTTCAGGTATGTGAGTGAAATGTCAATTTTGATAACGAAGTTCACTTACATCACGGGGTACCATCGAATAATTTTGGCAACGTACCGGAGAACGACATTTTACTAAGAAATGGCAATAATTTAGCACAATATATTTTTTAACTAGAGTTCTATTTTGATTTTGACAAAAGTAAGTATTCCATGCAATAACTATTTTATTCATGAGTTTGTAGTAATTCTGTTGGAACCCAGTTCTGATCAAGTACGAAGTTATTGAAATCGGCGCAGACGGACTTTACTCCGAAAGATGGTTTTTCGATTATAACTTTTCACAACATTTAAGTATAGACTTTTGAAAAAAGTACAGAATAGTCCTTATACTATTGAATAATTCTGTTATTTCTGATTCACACGACTCTGATTTGTTTAATTTAAAAAAAAGTTTTAAAAATATTACTTAGGAACGTAACCGGAGCTGGGAACGTAACCGGAGCAGATCAGTTGAATTATTTAATCCAAAAAATTAAAATATATGATTTAAAGCACATATACTAATTTAAAAACATACGGGATTGTTCGAATGCGTATTTATTAATATACCAGGTCGATCAATAAGTTCTGAGAATTTTCCTCTAAAATCAAGAGTTTTGTGAATTTTTATTTGAAATTTTCACAGAACATGTAATATGAATTCAGCAATTAGTGTAAGAAGTTGGTCCAATAAAAGGAAAATAAGAAAAACTTGGTACACTAATTGCTGAATACATTCTACATATTCTGTGAAAATTTCATTCAAAAAGTCACAAAACTCTTGATTTTAGAGGGAAATTTAAATAAAAAGATATAATAATATAATTAAATCATATATTTTATTTTTTTAAATTATATAATTCAACTGATCTGCTCCGGTTACGTTCCCAGCTCCGGTTACGTTCCTAAGTAATATTTTTAAAACTTTTTTTTTAATTAAACAAATCAGAGTCGTGTGAATCAGAAATAACAGAATTATTCAATAGTATAAGGACTATTCTGTACTTTTTTCAAAAGTCTAAACTTAAATGTTGTAAAAAGTTATAATCGAAAAACCATCTTTCGGAGTAAAGTCCGACTGCGCCGATTTCAATAACTTCGTACTTGATCAGAACTGGGTTCCAACTGAATTCCTACAAACTCATGAATGAAATAACCATTGCATGGAATACTTACTTTTGTCAAAATCAAAGTAGAACTCTAGTTAAAAAATATATTGTGCTAAATTATTGCCATTTCTTAGTAAAATGTCGTTCTCCGGTACGTTGCCAAAATTATTCGATGGTACCCCGTGTATATGTCATATGCAATGAAATAAATAAGATTTAATGATTAAGTGCAGGTGTAAGTCAATATGATGAAGACATTTGATGAAGCTCAGAAAAAAGTCAAATTAATATTTCAGCATTTTTTAGCGTTTTACACCTAAAGAACTAATTGAAATTAAAATTGACACGATAAAACAAAGTAACCATATAGTGTAACATATTACTTCAAAAGTGAAGAGTAGAGTTAAAATGAAAACGCTTGCGTCAACATGCCATATTTCTCCATGAATATATTTATTATGGAACATTTACAATTGTTTAAGAAAATGGATCACCTGAATATTTCGAAAAGTTTATATGCATATTGACTGGAATGAATTTAGTATAATTGTCTTTTATAAAATGCTTCTGAATATTCAGAAGATACCTTTTCTAACAACTCGAAATGTCCCACTGACACTTTCAAAACACAAAAGCTTGGCTTAAAATGATTTAAATACTGTATGTTTCATGATGATTGGTTGCTAAAATTTAAGATTTACAGAATTTCAGAACTACAGATTTCAGTATACATATTATATTAATAGAGCAGCAGACCCGTAGCGAGGGGGGTTTGAGGGTTGTCCTTCATTATGGTTCACATTACTAAAACTTGGTCTAAAATAATTCAATTACTGTATGTTTGATAATGGTTGCTTGCCAAAATTTAAGATTCACATAATTACATATTTCAGTATACATATCATAGTAATATAGGAGCAGGCCCGTAGCCAATGGTGTTCGGGCAATTCCCTTCCCCCTGGCCAAAAATTCTTTGAAAATCATCAAAAGTAGTGAACCCCCTTGGAAAATCCTGGCTACGGATCTGAGGAGCTGTTATAATTTTAAAATTCTTTGAAAATCATCAAAAGTAGTGAACCCCCTTGGAAAATCCTGGCTACGGATCTGAAGAGCTGTTATAATTTTACAGATCAATCATGCGACAAAACAGAATCCCTCGATGCTACAGCACTTACCAGAGATGACGGGACCAAAAGATACAATTCAAAATGGAGAAAGAATGAAAAAGAGCACAACTGTTCAAAACCTTCAAACATCACTTGTCAACAGCTAAAGTTCTCTCAGAAAGCTCTCCCTAAAACAGCCCTGTTTAGCTTTCCTGGTTCTGGCAACACATGGCTACGTCACCTCATACAGCAAATGACAGGTTTGTAGTGGTTACGTCACCTAATCAACAAATAACAGGTTTGTAGTGGTTACGTCACATAATACAGCAAATAACAGGTTTGTACGAGGGGTGATCAATAAGTAATGGACGCTTTTTTACACAGATACTTTTTATGGACCAATCCCTTTGATTTTCCTACTAGTGATACATCATTCAATTATCTATCAATTCTGAAGATTTGAAGACAAAATATATAATACATGTTGATCTATCCTTATTTCCGTGAAGGAGGTACAGGTACCCCGGGACCGACATTTACGTCACATATTCAGTTTTTAGCCAGTTTGGCAAATTTCAGCTACATTTAAACTTTTTTTTATGCAACAAGTGTTGTGTTGTTTGAAAAATTTTGCTGACTGGTTACATGTAAACAGTAAGTTATGTGATGTCTGAATGTTGTATGTTCAGGGTTTGCAGGTCAATTCGAGGAAGCATTGTGGAAGAAGGGGTTAGTGAGAGAAGGAAACACCCCACTCCATATGGACAATTCTCCTGCCCATATATCTCAAAATGTTCAGAAAACAAATCCATGGACCCTAAAATTGAGCCCTTTGTCAATGCACCATATTGTCTAGATCTGCCCACATGTGATTTATTTATTTATTCCTTTACTACTTATTTCTATAGAGAAGGGACGCAGGTTTATTGACATTGATGAAATGAAACAACCCGTGCAACTGCATCTTGCTACCATGTCAGAGAATAGATTCAGCCTTGTCTCACAATCTTGAGTTAAAAGGATGAGGAATTGTATACATGTTGAACTTGATGGAACCTATGTAGAGGGCCCTGTAGAATGAATGTGGCATGAATACCACATAGTGATGATAAAATATTCAAAATCAACTATGGCATAACAAAATGGGGTAATTCATGACCATAATGGTTAGTTTTGTTCAGCCTGCATTCAACTGCGTTGCATGTTAAACAAGCTAAAACAACTTCAGAATGTTTGACGTAAATGTTGGTCCCGGGGTACCTATACCTCCTTCACGGAAATAAAGATATATCAAAATATATTACATGTTTTGTTTTCAAATCTTCAGAGTTGATAGATAATTGAATGATGTATCACTGGTAAGAAAATCGAAGGTATTGGTCTATAAAAAGCATCCGTGTAAAAAAGCGTCCATTACTTATTGATCACCCCTCGTAGTGGTCACGTCACATAATTCAACACATAGCAGGTTTGTAGTGGTTACATTATGTCACCCCATACCAAGGAGGATTGGCTCCCAGGATCGAAACTCGATATTTTCCAACAATGAAAACGTCGAAATGTCGTTATTTTCTGAAATTAAAACCGACTATAAATTCAAAATAAACAGTTCAAAAGATTCGAACCAATATCTCGATCGTTTCTTGTGAGTTTTGGAATTTTTCGTTTGGAAATAAGACCAAAATTCACGATTTAAATGTTGAAGTGAACAAAATGGCGGCTGTTTGAATTCGAATTTTGTATTACGACATACCCATATATGGGACAGAATATCGGTGGTGCACTCTGGGAGCCAATCCTCCTTGACCCCATACAATAAATAACACTCTTAAAAAATATTACTTGGATTTCCTTATATTGAGAACTTGTACTACTCATTTTAAGTAAAAAATTACTTAAATAATCTTGAACTACTGAATAATTTTTAAGTAATTCAAAGTAATTACAAGTAAATATAAGTAATTTAAAACAATGATATATATATTAATTAAAAAAAATTAAAATGACACAGGCACTCTGAATTTATGGTGAATTTACTAATGCAAGGAGAGAAATTGAAATACTTACTGTAGTAATGGTAATACTCATTTACATAATTAAGCAATTAAAAAACTCAAAATGACAATATAAGTAAAACCTAAGTAAAATGAAGTAAAACTAAGTATTTAACTTTAAGTAATTTTTATACTTGGGAAATACTCAAGTAATTCATTTTTAAGAGTGTAACAGGTTTGTCGTGGTTACGTCACATAATACAGCAAATAACAGGTTTGTAGTGGTTACGTCACATAATACAGCAAATAACAGGTTTGTAGTGGTTACGTCACATAATACAGCAAATAACAGGTTTGTAGTGGTTACGTCACATAATACAGCAAATAACAGGTTTGTAGTGGTTACGTCACATAATACAGCAAATAACAGGTTTGTAGTGGTTACGTCACATAATACAGCAAATAACAGGTTGGTAGTGGTTACGCCACATAATACAGCAATTAACAGGTTTGTAGTGGTTACGTCACATAATACAGCAAATAACAGGTTTGTAGTGGTGACGTCACATAATACAGCAAATAACAGGTTTGTAGTGGTTATGTCACATAATACAGCAAATAACAGGTTTGTAGTGGTTACGTCACATAATACAGCAAATAACAGGTTTGTCGTGGTTACGTCACATAATACAGCAAATGACAGGTTTGTTGTGGTTACGTCACATAATACAGCAAATAACAGGTTTGTAGTGGTTACGTCACATAATACAGCAAATAACAGGTTTGTAGTGGTTATGTCACATAATACAGCAAATAACAGGTTTGTAGTGGTTATGTCACATAATACAGCAAATAACAGGTTTGTAGTGGTTACGTCTCATAATACAGCAAATAACAGGTTTGTAGTGGTTACGTCACATAATACAGCAAATAACAGGTTTGTAGTGGTTATGTCACATAATACAGCAAATAACAGGTTTGTTGTGTTTACGTCACCTAATACAGCACATAACAGGTTCGTAGTTTACGCTACCCAATACAGCAAAGAACAGGTTTGTAGTGTTTACGTCACATTTTACAGCAAATAACAAGTTTGTAGTTTACACCAACTAATACAGCAAATAACAGGTTTGTAGTTTACGTCACATAATATAGCAATTAATATCAGATATGTAGTGTTTATGTCACCTCATTTAACACGTAACAAGTTCGAAGTGATTATGTTATCATCTCATATAACACGTTACAGGTTTGTAGTGATTATTTCACCTCATATAATACCTGACAAGTTTGTAGTGATTATGTCACCTCATATAACATGTGACAAGTTTGTAGTGTTTACGTCAACTTATACAGCAAATAACAGGGTTGTAGTGGTAATGTCAGCTCATACAACACATACTATAATAGGTTTGTGGTCTTTATATAATATAACACGTAACAGATTTGTAGTCACATAATACAGCAAATGACAGGTTTGTATTGGTTAAGTCACATAATACAGCAAATTACAGGTTTGTAGTGGTCATATCACCTCTTAAATGGTTTTCATAGAATAAAACCATAATTATAATTAACCATTATGGCGAAGTATTCAATTACAAGAACCTGAGACAATTAAGCAATATAAATTGAAACGAACTACAATATAAGCTTATCATCCATATACACACGGGTCTCCACCTTGTTACGTTACGTCTTTATAACAAAATGGATGAAGTTCCGGTAGAGAAATTTTGTAAGGTTGTTTATTTCAGTCACAAGCAAACATATCCAGCAGCTCCAATAAGCGACCTCCTTCTTGGTGAAAATGATGAAAATAAAAATTTCCTCCGACGCAAATTCACCCACTTTGTTAAAAAGACTTCACGTCTTTGGGACAAGTGACACATGAAAGATAATTCCACGATGAAATGAAATACTTTCTTACTCACCTAGGGTTCTATACTGGGTCCATATACAATGATACAGATCTAAAAATGAATGGACTTCCTGGTGAGGGTCACACAGGAGGTGATGTGGTAGTAACAAAGACTCATGACGGACGGTCATTAACGGAATTATATGATCGCGCCATTGTCATCATAAGGAATCCACTCCATGCTATATACGCATGCTTTCAACAGGGATCCAAGGGACATGTTGCTGTAATCTCAGAAGAGACATTAAGGCAAAACGAGAGAATGAGAGAAAAACTGACTAAAAGTGTCAATTACAAGGGAGGGGACTTTGGAATAAAAGGCTGGTTTCTGAGTTATCTCCTGGCTTTAAAGCAATACAGAAAGCAGAAGATGCTTATCGTACACTATGAAAACTTAAAAACCAAACTCAGGGAAGAATTGTTAAGGATATGTAGTTTCCTTAACATGACCGTTGACCAAAGTGTGATCGATTGTGCTCTTTGTAATTCCGAAGGTAACTTTCATAGAAAAAGGACAAACTTTAATCCATATACAAAGGCTGATATGTTAAAAATAGCTATACATATTAAAGCCATGAATGAAACATTGAGAGAAACATGCGGTTTGTCGTGTACTTTCCCCTACTCTATATCTTTTCTGTAGTTTGATAGAGAGGTTTGGAAATTGCTTTTGAATTGTTTCATTAAAATATATGGAAATCACCAGTGTCACATTTATCTGTGTTTGTAACTTAAATCAATGTTGAAGTTTGAAACTGAAAACGCGGTCTTCAGCTTTTCAAGATTCACCGGGACAATGCAAAAAGATGTCAGGCAGACCTTCTTTTTATTCCTTTTTTATTCATTGAAAAATCATTTGAAAGCAGTTACATTAACATATACATAATATCATAGGAGTCACACAATTTTCCATCATATTCTTTTTTAAGGCATCCAACCACAATAGTCTAATCTAATCTAGTAACCATAATTTTCACCTTTTTCCCCTGCCTATTTGCTTACCAATATAACAATAAGAACCCAATCAGGCAGAACTTCATTTAACCCCATAACCGTGCCGATTCCTTGTCTGGCATAAGCGTACACAATATGTATGGTCTCGGTTGACTGTCTATTGAAACATATTAACGATCTATAACTGACGACTGCTGCAGGTAGTCTACAACAACTGATGAAGGAAAACAGAAAACTAAAATGCTGGTTAAAAAGGATAAATGTTTTGTACATACAACATGTAACCAAATGGCACCCATAACTCTAGTTCTTTAACAAAGCGGGGTTAACCACAGATTTGTTTTTAAAAATCACATAATTTCTTTGGTTAACCCGACACTAGAGAAACTAG